CCCCCCCCCCCAATATCTATTTTCTATAACTATCTCTGTCTCTAGCTAGCTAGGTAGCTATCTCCATCTATCTATATCTATCATATCTATCTACTATATCTCCGTTTCTGTCTGTCTATCTACATCCATATCTATCTATCTATCTATCTATCTATCTATCTATCTATCTATCTAAGCTAGCTAATTATTTATCTACTCTATCTATTCACCCACCCACCCATCCATCGTATCTATCTGTCATCCATCCATTTATCTACGTCTATCATCCATCTGTCCTATCCATCCATTTAGCTATATCTCTATCATCCATCTATCTACCCATATCTATGGGGGGGGGGTTGTATAGGCATTGCATCATTGGTGCAGGCATGCGCACTTTTGGCTTGCGACGTGGGAAAGGTTAGCTATCACTGCCCTATACCATTTTACACAAATGGCTGTCCAATCTCTCCTTAAAAACTTCCAGTGTTGGAGCGTTTACAACTTCTGGAGGCAAGTTGTTCCACTAGATAATTGGTCTAACTGTCAGGTAATTTCTCCTTAGTTCTAAGTTGCTTCCCTCTCTGATTAATTTCCGCCCATTGCTCCTTTTTCTGCCTTCAGGTGTTTTGGAGAATAGCTTGACTTCCTGTTCTGAGAAGACTGCTATCATGTCACCCCTAATCTATGATCACCCGGGCTTGGCATGGAAACAACACCACCAGAACGAAGATTTAACTCCCCTTTTTTTGTTCCAACTCCCCCCCCCGCCCCCCCCCAAAAAATCCCTCCGTTCACTGCAAATCCAGGAACAAAGCTCTAAGCATGAACCTCCAATAGTTCCTGGCTGCTATTAATCGAGAGGAGCAGCTCAGTTCTGAGAGCAGCCACAGTTCAGGGAAGTTGGTTCCAAGGAGTCCTCGTCACAGGCAAGAAGTCACTGGTACTACAGCATCACCCGGAGTATAACTGTGTCACTGCGACCTCACACATAGCCAGGCCAGCCTGGCAAACAAGGCAGACAAGCCCAGCGAAGTATCCAGAGGTCAGTAACAGCAGGTGAAGCTGGGAAAAGCAACGCTTGTTCATGACAAACATACCTCCCAGCTGCGTCTCTTTAAACTTCATTTCCCCAGGTGAGCTTTGTGAAGGGGTGGGGCGCCCTCCTCCCAAGTAGTTGGATTGCCTTGCGCTGATCCCGTCTCCACTCCATTCTCCCTGCTTGTGGGGAGGAGGTAATTGTTTGCTCCGCTGCCTGTCCTGTCCTCCCCCTCACCTGATCTCCTGCTCACCCTTGCTGGCGACCCTTCCCAGGACTGCCTCGTCCTGCTCCTCCGATCATTCTCCATCAGCTCAGTCTCAGGCTCCGACGGGGCCATGACATAGTCCTTCTGTTCATTAAACCAGCCATGCCCAGTTCCTGTAACTGTTCATTGTATGTTTTAGCTTCCAATCCCCTCATATCTTCGTTGCTCTTCTCTGCACTCTTTCCAGAGTCTCAACTTCTTTTTTATAATGTGGCGACCAAAACGGGATCCGTTATTCCAAGTGTGGCCTTACCAAGGCATTATGAATTGGTATTATAATACATTATAAAGTGGTATTATAATATGCTCATTATTATGAGCCATGGTGGCGCAGTGGTTAGAATGCAGTATTGCAGGCTACTTCTGCTGACTGTCCGCTGCCGGCAATTTGGCAGATCAAATCTCACCAGACTCCAGGTTGACTCCGCCTTCCGTCCTTCTGAGGTGGGTCAAATGAGGACCCAGATTGTTGGGGGCAATTATGCTGACTCTGTAAACCACTTACAGAGGGCTGTGAAGCTCTGTAAAGCAGGATATAAGTCTTAAGTGCTATTGCTATTAATACTTCCTGTGATCTTGGTTCTGTTAACGCAGCCTAGAACTGTGTTGGCTTTTGGTTATAGCACGCGCCTGGCTCATAATTTTTAAACACTTATCTTCTAGCATTTTAATGTGAGGCCAGAGCAAGTTCTTCAATGGACATTGTCTCCAGACCTGTTTGAGGCAGAGACTGAAGATGAGAGCACCACAATAGAAAACAAGGCAAGAGAGGTAAGGCCAATGTAACAAGGTGTTTTTTTTTTTTCCTTGCATCAGAATTCTCTTCCAGCCTGTCCTGTTTTCTCACTGGTCCCTCAACCGTGAGTACCTTTGGCCAGGGGGAGTCTCTGCAGCTGTGTCAAATTCTTTCCCTACCTTTTCATGGTGGGCATTGGTCCAAACAGCTGCCAAAGTAATACCTGTAGTTCATGGGCCTCGGAATTCCTTGTGGATTCTGGGGATAGTTTTTCTGCAGACACCCTGTTTCTGCTCGTCCATTTTGTGTGTGGCATTAATGCAGACAAGGAGAAAAGTATTGATAAAGGAGAATGTTTGTAGCTTGGGGTTGAAACTAGGAGTCCTTTGATGCTCTTTGAGCTTGGTTGTTTTCTTGCAGACGTTTCTTAACCCAACTGGGTAACAACATCAGTTCAAACCCTGCTCCCTTCTAGCGCTGATGATGTTACCTTGTTGGGTAATGAAATGTCTGCATGAAAATCATCCCAAAGGTGGTTTTTTCCCCCACCAAAGTCAACTGGATTTTCTTTGTTCTTCCTTGGTTTTTCCTTCCAGCAATCCCAAGACCACAGCCATTTTGCATTCTGATTCAGATAACCTTAATGATACAGATAAATTTCCAAACATCCTGAGTGACTCTCAGAGAGCGAACAACCCAGATGACTGCAAAGGCTGGAAATATTTCTATATTCCCCGTCATTCAGTCAGAACTGAAAGATCTTCTTGGATGAGAAGCGAAATGTTTTCCAAAGCGGGGGGAAAAAAAACACAAAATCCAGTTGCCTTTTGAAAAACATCTTTGGGACAACCACGACCTGGATCAAACGAGAAACTTCCTAACAGCGTGGACAATGAACCAGTGGGACAGCTTCCCTCCAGAAATCGTGGGTGCTCCTTCGCTGGAGATTTTTAAGAGACCGGACAGTCACTTATCCGAGAGTGTATAGTTTCTCCTGCTTGAGCAGGGGGCTGGACTAGAAGACCTCCAAGGTGCCTCCCATCTCTATTCTGTTCTATCACTGAGAATCTCCATGGATATCTGCATGAAATCAACCAAAACTCGGAGAGCACCAAGGACCCTATCAGGGAGAAAAGTTTCCAACAGGATTCTGCGTTAAACAGAATAAGTCCACCTTACTTGTCGCTTACTTAACTGGATGGGTTGAATGCATTTTAGAGAATAACGCTTGGCGTTCGTAAGAGTAGAACAGGGGTGTCAAGCTTGATTTCATTGAGGGCCGCATCAGGATTGTGTTTGATCTTGGTTGAGGAGGTGTAGACCTGGCCAGAGTGGACGTGGCCAGTTTGACATCACTCATGTGAAGGGCACCTGTGGTGGCCAAATGCTAAGGCAGGACTTCCCTTAGACCCACCCTCATAATCTACCTTCCTTCCTTCCTTCCTTTCCTTTCCTTTCCTTTCCTTTCCTTTCCTTTCCTTTCCTTCCTTCCTTCCTTCCTTCCTTCCTTCCTTCCTTCCTCCTTTCCTTTCCTTTCCTTTCCTTTCCTTTCCTTTCCTTTCCTTTCCTTCCTTCCTTCCTTCCTTCCTTCCTTCCTCCTTTCCTTTCCTT